TGAATAGTATTTGTTCAGAGAGACGAATAATATTCAAATCTATCCTAGTTTGCACGGGCATCGCAGAAGACTAGATTGGTAAGTAACTGTGGTTTTTGAGCAAAAACTGATCTTCGCTTGCAATGTTAACTTGATGTTTTATGTCAAATGTTGTATTCAGTGGACCTTGGTACGCTTTGTTTGCTCTATTAGTCTATTCTTATTCTAGAAAATGTAAGCAATAATTTTATAAAATTTAAGTGGTTTATGAAATAAAGCATATTCGTGTTCATTTGTGCATTATGACATGTAAGTGCATACGAATACACTATGCAGTGATGCTACAGGATATTTGTTGCAGCTAGAAGGGCCTTCGAGATGATGAAGGTTTTAACAAATATAAGAAAATACTAATGGGGGCAAAGTTATCAACCACACACAATAACCAGTCGTATAAGCAGCATAGTTACGGAACATTAAACGAACGTAACTTCCGCTTAGAATTTATCCAGTGGCTAATTCACATGATATTTTGCGTTTGAATCAAATTTGTGCAGAAAGATGAAATGCAAAGTATAAGTGTATGATTTGATAAGTGAGATAACAGCTGGATCAATACTGATTGCCTAGCCGTTGCGCTTCCGACGGGTGTAGCAGCCCTTGTAAAGAGCTGCCCTATGATAATGCCAGTTGACTCATGGCTGTCTCGGATTCAAAAAACCTGAAAGAATTTGAGTTGGCTTGAATGGCGGCCTCCCGCATCTGGTTCTGTTGGAATATTCATGACGCTCATTTGCAGAACCTTGATGTTCGTCTTGATAAAAGTTAGAGCAGTATGGCCTTATTTACTCTAAGTTTCTACTTTTGGCCAAAAATTCAATTTACGTTGCTATGTAGACCCTCTTTTTCATTACTGTATAGAGTCTGAATGTATAAGTTTCGCTGCTTTACGACATACATGCTTTATCGACGATAGCACCTATTATCATACTCGATGTTGCGGTTATCTTTCGAGAATTGCTGAAATCCATACTGATCCCAACGACGAAAATTGAACCCGATTTTAAAATGACGCAGGAACCATCAACTCGATTCTTTTAGAGCGCACAAACCTTAGATTTTCGAATGTAACCCTCATAGCAGCCTCCTGAAAAATGCGTTGTAGGCCTTTTTATTTTTTTTTCTGTTGCCAGCCAACTATATACAGACTGACTTGCAAGACCTATAAATTCAGAATGCGTTCAAGAAGAGTATGGAGATTCAAATCTGGATCATCATCGACAGCGACAGTTCTCGATTGGAGGTCAGGTCTGTAGAGCATAAAAAAGCGATTTTGTAGTGATTGTTCGAGAGGTCCAGGTGGTCTTTGGGGTCCCCTTCCCTGTGCTTCTTCCGAAACTTTCGATTGTGTGTAATAGAAGATTTTTTTGCAAAACTGTTCTGCAGTTAGTATTGGCTACCAGTCGCTTGAGATGTGATGCAGTCGGATCCAGCCTAACTCTCCTCCTTTTAAAAAGATATTGGTAGATTTCAAAATTCGTCCCACGTTCCTTCTTCGTGGCACTGAGACGCCTTCAGCGCACGCCCTCAGTCTTACAAGAAGCAGATAGTAGTCGTTCGTTGGGTCTTCCTCGATGAGTCAGTCACAAGTGGTCAGGGGCTCCTACAACTTGAAGCAGTCATATACGACTTCTCTCCTTCCTTCCTTCAACACGGTGCAAATCTTCTTTTC